ATCGATTTGAACTAGAAGTGAAGAAAACGTAAGAGGAAAACACTTGTATACGTGACTGCGTTGCGTTATCTGTTGTTAAAATATCATTATAGTAATGCACATAATTATAGCGAAGACTTTCACAAGTTCGGTCTATCCTTCCTGTTTTTCTCTACCACTTGGACCACATTTTGATAATGCTCTTCATCTTTAGTACTACATGTATTACGGTCATTGTAAGCGTTTTATATGTGAATGCCCCCTCCAGTATTGCGGATTCGCAATGGAGACATTTCTAGACAGCTGCCGCGAGAGGCGTAGCAGTGAAATATATATGGGTGGGGGTCGAGGGGGTCCGCAAATAAAATTGACAATCTGTGACGCCGGAGGCACGAGGCTGCGCAGCACCCGATGTAGCGCGATAGGGGGAGTGTGGGAGGGTCACCTTCCCACTGGCGGGGAGGCCACCCCCATATTTTTTTTTAAAGTTTCAGTCTTCTGTAAACACTGTTTTGGCATATTTTACGGGGTTAAACAAAAACATCACACCAATACAATGTTTATCATTTTTAAGTCAAGGGGTGCCGTATTCATATTTTTTTCATGACTTTTACATATTGAATGTTATACTTGGGTTATGAACAACACGACAAAGGGAGTTTAGTAGGGGAATTTTTATGAGGATCCAATAAACAAAACTTGATCACATAACTATAGTTTATGAGGATGCATATTTGACAATCACCTTGTTAACTACAATACTATATACATATACACATTGACATATACAAGAAAGTTGTATAGATATTTAAAGTATTTTGTACATTTTGTGTATTATAAATGGATTTCAAAAAGTAAACATAAGTGTTTGTGTTTTAATTTGTACATTGTTTTATACAGATAGAATCTTAACTAATCCTAATAACTGTTGTAAATGAATAGAAGTTAGGGTCTATTATTTTTTTTTTTTTTTTTTTTTTTTTGGGGGGGGGGGGGGTCCAAGTATATTCAGACCCTCCCAGAAAAACAATTGGGGGGTCGCCCCCCCCCCCCCCCCATGTGTGACGCCCATGGCTGCCGCTGCCTAACCAACACAATAGACGCATGTGTAAAGAACATAAATGACATGAAAACTGTTGAAAAATAATTATTAAAAATTCTTTATTACCAATGGCAACCTAAAAGACGGATTGTTGGTTGCCCTCCCCCCCCCCCCCTCCCTAGATGTACTTAGTTATCAGGCCTGCTAGTCGAATAATCTGGCTGATCTACATGAAAATCCAATAAGATAAGGGCAATGTGTGCACGAAAGCAAGTATTTTGAAACAATGAAATGGGGTTTAACGTCCTACTGTTCTGCTCGTATGCTGGGCTAATGAAGACGGGCATACGCCATACAGTGTGCTATGAGGGAAATTTTGCCCGGGCAGCGGCACTTCGCCAACTCTTATATCGAATTCCAACGTCCAAGGGATCTTTTACATGCATTCCAATGTATACACAGGACCTAGGTTTTTCGTCTCATCCGAAGGATTAGACAGCTGTCCTTGTCAGGCCCTCCGTCCTGCATCACTGACAAGGGGGAACCACGCCGGGAAATTTGGATGAACTTTCTCGGCCAATGCAGGGATCGAACACCCGACCTCCAGGCTAGCGAGCCACGTGATCCCCGATATTTTTTTTTTTTTTTTTTTTTGAAACAAGTTATCAAATATTCTGACTTTTTCTTTCTGTGTTCTGCAAAGTACAATGTAGCCAAGGCATGTCTGTGGATATTTTCAAGCAGTTCCTTTACTGATTTTGTTTCACTAGGCATAATTAAGCCTCTTAAATTCATTGTGAAGTTCAGATTGGATTTTCAATCCAGGATAATTAGTTAATAGAGTATGAAATGTTTTGTGCATTAAATCAGAAATAAGGTTTATGTATTTATGGTATATCTTATCACACTGTCTGCAAATCTGTCATCATTCTGCTGACATCTTCATTTTTTTTTACCAAATCTGGTGTAGCCCAATTGGCCACACCTTTTATTTGCAGTTTTGTTAATGTTTCAACACTTATTGACACACAATCGTTCGACGCCGTTTCAAGCCGTCATATCTACTTCCTATTGGTTCCTTGAGCCTAGGGAATTGTCTTACCAAGTTTTTGCTGAACTGCTGAATATGTTCAGCTTTTGAGTATAATGTATTTGTAAATATGTGATCTTGTATGTTTTGTATTAGTTTATTTTTGCATCTCCAATTTAAAGATTCATTGCTTTTTAGGGCTTGCTGAAGATCCATATAAATGTACTTGTTTCCAATGGTTTGTCAGGCCATGATGCGTCCGCGGGAGCATTAACACTGGCTCCTTCTGAAAAAGGATTGCTTTCACAACTTTTTGACAAAGGTAATTCACAATTATCTTGTGAAACTGACAATATTACCCGTAATCTTGAATTGTTTTCTAGACAATTCACATCATTTATATCAATGAATGAATCCCATTCTTTAATGAAATACTGTATAATTATTTTCTTCATCCCTGGAGCAATACTAAATGCTTCCATTATTTACATCTAATGTTTCTGTTTCTGTTAACTGTATTATCTTGGTAGAAATACCATTTTGTACCAAAAATGTTTTCTTAGGACTGATTATACCTGTCAACATAAAAAGTAGAACTAGAATGTTTTTCAGTAACTTTCTACTACTTGACATCGCTCTAAAGAAATAAACCAGATTTCACTCTTATCTTCATTTTCAACCTAGAGCATTGATGAGAGTAAGTTTCCATTTTAGAGTAAATCACCAATGTTAGGCAGTTTGCATAGTCATTGGAACACAGCAGCTGGTACAATGGGACTTCCAGTATCAAGAAGAAAGTTAATGGGATGCATTTCAAGGTCTGTGTACTAACAAGCCAACGGTGAGGCTATAGACTTAGTTTGATCTATGTCTATGGGGGTTTAATGTCCTACTGTACTGCACTAACTGGTATAATGAAGACGGACATCTGCCATACAGTGTGCTATGAGAGAAATTCTGCCTGGACAAGATCGCCACGAACTAGTCTTATTTCGAATTCTAACTGTCAGGCACCCCAAAATTGCCCAGTAACAACATTAATTTTAACGGAATAATATATAACTCTTAATTTTCTTTTTCCAGTTACGTATCCCTAAATACCTCATTTTCGTCCTTTGCTCGGAGATATAGCCCAGAAGTTCCAGAATATCTTCGAAATAGACCAAGAGATTTTACTATGCATTAATTGTATGAAGAGGATTGGTGAAGCTGAATATGCCAGTGCAGTTAATAATGTGGTCGTTGAGGAGGGATACCTCTATACCGTTAGATCATCCAAAGATGCACTAAAACTCCTAAATGGTGTTAGAAAAATAATCCCGGACAAGACAAATTAATCAAATCCACTCAAACATTATTATGTGACCCAAAATTTGACCTTAATTGACGCTTAAATTGTCACCTTCGAACCACTCTTTAAGCAAGGTTTGTTCAACTTTTGTCGCTCTTACGTGATATTTTTGATTTCCTGGCTTGGTTAGCTAATAGCTACAGCGTTTAGGCTTTGTTTCAGTTATGGACTCTGAATTTTAATTAATTTCATACCTTTGACCTTTAAGTCACCTTTAAACGAGTCTTAAGCAAGATTTGTTCAACTTTTATCGCTCTTTAAGTGCTACTTTTGGTTTCATGACTTGGTTAGCTAGCTTTTATTTAGGCTTTGTTTCAGTTATGTACGTATGGACTCTAAATTTTAATTACGGTCACCTAATTATTAGTGCTAATTAATTTAAAATCTCTTAAGTAGCATTAGCACAACATGGTATGGTCTTTTGAAAGTTATACATTCTGTTTCTTAGTGTTAAGTATGAAACGTTTGCAAGAAAATTGTGGATGGACATTAAATATGGGAACGTTAGTGAAAGCGCTCCCAATGCGCAGGTTACAAAACTTAACGCCGTTTGGAGGCAGACCACCATTAAATTTCACCATCTCGGTACCATTATGCCCTATGGCATTAAATTTCACCATCTCGGTACGAATTGTAGTTCGTCTATTTATAGCAATTCTCTCTCTCTCTCCTTTTGCATGCCCATTTTTGTTGATTTTTTGGTCTAGAATGGACGAAGAGGGTTTGAATAAACATTTTCTGCCAGGTTTTGGTAAATATTCATGATTTTGAGGCGGAAGGATAACAGGGTTATCAGGTTGGCTACGGCGATACGTACGGCAACTATATAGTTACATGTTTTATAGTATGCTTCTTCAAGTTTGTGTATCTCAAAATTTTGGTGGTCAACCTCATACAAATTTTAGTGTAAAGACATGACCATTTGTTCCTCTGTCTATAGTGAAAAGCATTCAGCCCAACGAAAATTTGGGGGAAAGTTGGAGGTGGGCAAAGAGGCCAGAATTAACATTGAAGTCAATGGGGAAATTAATGGTGGTCTGCCTCCGTTTGTTCAAGGGAGTTATTTCCCCCTAACCGCCTGACCACCCTCTTTCTCGTCTTCTTGAGTTCTTCCTTGTGCATTTGTACCGCATAGATTCTTCCAAGATTATTATTTTATAAATTATAATTAATATATATTAAGCTGCTAATGTAAAATTCATTTTAAATTAAATTCTAATGCATTTCGGATTAGTTTCCTTAATATGTTATAGCACCACAATTTCCTTTTATGATCTGGTGTTTTAAACATTAATTATTATTCCTGCAATCTGCAGGTGCGCGCGGTTATCATACTCTTCGTTGGAATTGAAGCGATGTCAAAGACCTCTGTTTCTTGACCTACTTTTGATTGACTCGCGAGGATCCAAATCTTTGCATTAATGATGGTTACACTGTTCTATGCTTTACAGGTCTAACCTCGCAGGTGTGTATGCGCTGTTTTCTGTTGTTGTTTTGTTTTATCTTAGATTATTTTTAGGATAATTGCATCAAGCCGAAAAGAAATCGGACATTATTTTCGATTGTCAAGTACAATCTAGGGGAGACAACTTTTGTGCATTTGTTAAAAGTGTTTGAGAAGCGGGTTGGTGAGTGTTAGGGAGAAGGAAGTCTTTGTTGACAGCGTGTTGTCAAATTTGTCTATAAACAAGATCATATTGTGGTTCACGGATTGAACTAACTTCCCGTTTATATAGGCATGTGTGTGCAGTGCTGCTGTTGATAATGGAGATATATCAAGCTATTTCGGACTTCACACCGCCAGTGGACAGCTCCAACAAAAACATTTTGACATTTTTGAAGGGTGACACATTCGAGATATTTCATAGTGGGAAATTAACTGATTGGTGGGGAGCAAGGTCATTAAAAACTAATGTAACTGGATATGTTCCCTCTAAATATATGAAGGTATCAGATTTATCCACCTTAAATTACTGTTTTTATTCTGCTGATCAATTATTTTTCCCCAGTTTCAGCTACACAAATGAATAATTCTGAAATGCAAACTTAAGTTGTATGTAGTGTAGGTCCACTGATCATTTTTAATACTATACTATTACTATGCCATTTTTTACAAAATTTAGTTCAGGAGAATTTTGACAACCAAATACACTGCAATAGGTGTTGCTCTACAAATTCTGGTATTTCCTGATAAGTTTCCTGAATTCGTTATTGCCATCGGTATTATCTATGTTGCCATAACTAATATAAGCTTCTTTGATCACAATACAATTCCCATGGCATCTGTGTGGCTTTTATTACAGTATGATTAGTTTTGGGTATGGTGACTATACTATATTAACAATACATACATGTAGTGTACCAATGCATGTTTCAAAGTTCATATGTGTGTAGGCCTACAGAGGCTATAGTAAATGTAGGTTATTTCTTACAGGACCCGAGGTCTGTAGTGGAGACCAGGGGAAATTGAACAAGTTTTTTCACATGTATGATGGTCCTTCTTCCATATCAAAAGTTTTTATTAGAAGATCTATTTATTTTATTGTATTGTTTGAAGACATATATCATAGTTGTTATTGTGTATCAGATTCAACTGATTTAATCTTTAACTTTAAAAAAAAAAACCACAGTTTAATACACTGGGCTGTAATGGTTCAATATAACCCACTTTATTTTATGATCAGTAGTGATTTACCGCGTTTTATCAGTGAAATGAAAGTGTTATTCCACTGGCTAAAGAAGTCCATGTTGTTTTTACCTAAAATGATTGTAAAATCATAAAATAAATAGAACATTTGTCGTTTTGTCGTTAATAACATATTTTATTTCATCTCTAAGCAAGAAAACATTTATATTTTCACTTATGCTACGCATTCGTGAAAATATAAGTTTTCTTGCTTCTCGATGAAATAAAATATGTTATTCACTCTAAAACGACAAATATCCTCTATGTATAAAATAGTTGGGGCACGTTAAACCACATAATGGGGCACTTTGAACAGTGGTAAAAAATCCATAGTTATCAGTCTTCATTCCATGTTAAACCATATGGACCTTACAATACATTATAAAGCCTAGCTTATGTCGCCCTACGACGCGATAAAACTTACGGAGACTCAAAATCGGCGACTGGTTTACGATCAAGTGGAACTGATCAGTCGTGTCTATGAGGGCCACCTGAGCGCTCTTACGACTGGTGTAAGTCGGACGGCAACCAATCGCTGTCTAGTCGTCTCCAGTTTCTCTGAGTCGCACATGTTCTACTCTTACGGCTGGAGACAACTAGTTGTCCCTAGTCGCAAGCGACATGAGCGCACCTAGCTACGACTGGCTTAAGTCGGCACTTCGATGATGTAGCTAATAAGATTCGGTTATTTAGTCACATGGTAGCCAGGGGCGGTAACAACCACGAGAGACAAGTGGAATGAGGCCATTTTGAAGGTTATCACGTGTCAGTCACGTGATCAGTTGTGGCTCCGATTCTGCAACTGACGCCGGCCAACATGAGCGTGCTTACAACTATGATCAACTGGTTGCTCGTGGTTGCGTCCAGTCGTGGATAAATTCAGTCGTAGCGACATAAGCTGCCAGTTGCAGTTAGTCAGCGTCAGTTTTATCGCGTCGTAGGGCGACATAAGCTAGGCTTTAGGTCCATGGTTAAACATAAATCTGGATTTGGATCACAAACCCAGTCACTTGTTTTGTAGTGATCTAATGAATTTGCAAACAATCAGTGTTCATTTGAGAACAAAACTCCATAGATTTGACATCTGTGCAGCGATTAAAACAATCGAACACCCCGATTTGCAGATAATTGGCTTTAGCCCAGGAGATTCATTTGGCCCCTGTATTTCACAGTTTTAATTCCATGAAGTTTTAATTCCTTTTATTCAATTGGACTGCAGATATTTAATATATCTACTGTTTTTGTTTTGAATGACAAAACAAATTATTAATGCACTGAGGTACATTGAACCAGCGGTTCAACATACTCCAATGACTCCATCACAGTTTTATGATAAAAATTTAAAAAAAATTCCAAATGACCTCTGTGGATCAAGCTCTTGGATTGTAGATTAGACATTATATTTATTATGAACTGATTGTAAGTACAAGTTTTCCTAGACTAAGCGGGTAACAGATATGGAAAATGTTAAGATGAAGTAGTAAATTTTTACTTTTAACACCTTTTTTGAAAAGAAAATCGGTGCCTAACAAATAATTGACAACACGTTGGTTCTGCCTCATTGACAAAGAAATAGGTGTAAGAGTTATCTCACTTCTGTGTAGTCTTGTGTTCCCTACTATTATTTCTTAAAGATATATCAAATTTGATTCAATGTACCCATATGTTCAATGTGCCCTGGTCTCTCATGATCATTCATGTGCATTGTGCTTTACATATTTCATTTATGATTGCCAGAATATTTTTCTTTAAATATCTCATGGAGATGATGTTCTGAAAGAAATTTTTCAGTGTTTCATAAATATATCTCATGCATGAACATTTAGTTATTTTTTTGTTCATCATAACATTATTTGGTTTATCATCTAGAAATCATAAACTGTGATAAGACATATATATTAAGCACTTGTTTAAAATGTAAATCAAGTATCAATAATATTTTCAGTATGTAGAAAGAAGAGTTGGTAAATTACTTCCTGATAATTACAAGGTAAGATTGTCATTATCATACCAGACTAAATTTCTTTAGTTTTCTGTAGGGTCAAATTTGGTTAAAAGATGGTATATCCACTAGCAAATTTTTATGACAAACTTCTGTTCTCTGTTTTCTTTGAGGTCCATATACAGCTCAAATACAGCTTAAGGAAGTTTGATTGGTTACAATTTGCCCAGGACGAAACATTTCTCTGTTGGCAAACTGGGTGGTCAGGTCCTATTCACTTGCACAGTTAAACAAAAAAACATGAAAAAACCCAGACCAATGTTTTATTGACTGGCAACTCATGTTTAGGTGATTAGAAAAAAATGTCAAATGTGGGCATATATTCCTGTACATATCAATTTATTGTGATTCTGTAATTATTATGGCAAATACACGAAATATAAACATTGTCAGATCACTGGGAGTTCTGTCAATTAATTAGCACTGTTCTTATCTAGAGGTCATTGGTGACAAAGATTTTCTTATGACTGTTGCCATTTAGTAGCATATTAACAAAAATGATGAATATTTCTTTGCATATCAGTTCATACAATGTAATATTGTCAAATTAATTTTTATACGTTCACATTGAAATGTGGTTGTATATTTCCGTCGAAACCCGTCGGTCCGTGGATTAGTGGCTAAAGTTAATATCCAATTGACTTTAAATTTATACACAGTGTTTAAGGCCATGAGAAGAAGAAACCTAGTGATATGGCCCTTGATCACTTGTGGATGCTCTAGAGACCAAAGTTATCATCCGATGGACTTTAGATTGATAGGCCTACACAAGTATTGATTTTCAATGAATTTTGTTAACTTAAACATCTAAATCCATGCTTTTAAATGTTTTGCATACTAAATGTTAGCATGGGGCAGAACTAAAAGCCAAACAAATTCTAATGATTTTCTGATAATTACTTAAAGGCTCAATACCACTCTTGTTGTAACTGAATAATATATCCCAATCTTTATTCTGGTCAACAAATTGTACTATTTTACAATATTCTAATTAATTGATGATACAAATTTCATCTTAACACACCTAATTTAAAAAATTGGAAAAATTCAACTTAATGTTTTGAAAAGCCTGACATAAAGCTTTTCAAATGTGACTTGGATTTAAAAATATTTTTGAACCCTCTGAACAAGTAAAATAGGATTTAATGGATAATTTACACAACAGGTAAGACACTAACACATCTAGTACTTAGAATAAGGCTGTTTTTTATTTTCTGGAGCTGTCAAGCCAGCAAGAGAGTTATTGTCCCTTTAATGAGTTGTTACTCTTCTTAATCAGATTTTAGTATATTATAAATGTTTCATTACCGACAACTCTTTTTGACGACTCGGACGACTTAGCTGATGTGGGTGTATGTTTCATTGCCTGGCTGGCAACCTGTCTTATCATCTAGGCCTGTGATTCATTACAAGGCCAGTTTTTGTAGTGAAATGAGCTTAAATAAGCCTTGATTTTGATCTTTTGTAATTATTTGAGCTGGCAGGAAAGTAAGTCCCAGATATCCTGGTCTTAACAGTTAACACCACTAAGATTTATCTACATGTAACTACAACCACCACTGAAATATTCCCTCAAATTTGTACCGTTCTTGGTATTTGTCAGGTTTGTTTTCATAGTGAATGTACATTTACATCAATTGGTATTGAGACGTTTACTACATCTGTGTTTTGTTGTGAAGTTTTCCTGTATTTCCTGTTACCTGAATTTTAATACAAAATGATCACGCTTGTACCTATATAGAAAGAAATGAAAATTATTGCAAAGTAGCCCAGATTTATAAGAAATATAAATGAAATGAAATGAGGTTTTACGTCCTACTGTTCTGATTTGACTGGGTTAATCAAGAAGGGCACACACCATACAATGTGCTATGAGGGTAATTTTGCATGGACAGTGGCCTACTCTTATATCAAATTCCAAATACCAAGGAATCTTTTATGTGTACACCGGACCTCGGTTTTTCATCCCATCCGAAAAATGACTATATGCTGTCCCTTGCCATGCCCTCTGTCCTGCACCACTGACAAGGTGGACCACACCAGGAAATCCAGATCTTGGCCAACACTGGGATCGGATCGAAATAACATTAAATTTAAATGGGGTTTAATGTCCTACTGTTCTGCTCCTACGGGGCTAATGAAGACGGGTATACGCCATACAGTGTGCTATGAAGGAAATTTTGCCTGGGTAGCGGCACTATGGCCTACTCTTGTATCGAATTCCAACTGCCAAGGGATCTTTTACATGCACGCCAATGTATACATAAGTCCTCGTTTTTCTGTCCCATCCGAACGACTAGACAGCTGTCCTTGTTAGGCCCTCTGTCCTGCACCACTGACAAGGGGAAACCACGCTGGAAAATCCTGATGAACTTTCTCAGCCAAAGCAGGGATCGAATATGGGACCTCCTGACGAGCGAGCCAGCGTCTTACCCACTTAGCCACTGTGGCTCCCCACTGGGATCGAATACAGGACCTCATGGTTAGCGAGCCAATACAGCTTTTATATAAAAACTTAATTATGATATAGAACATGTGGTGTATGATGCAAATAATTTGGCCTTATGAATAATGAGTAGAATAGATCTCTGTTAACTTTTAACTTTTTAACCAATTTTTAAAAAGTCGTACCTTTTTAGGATTTACTGATAAATATCAAGATTACAGTTAAACAGTTTGTAATATTTTGCTCATTAAAAGGTTGCTATGCAGGATGACTGTTTAAATTTATCTGAAACTAAAGCTATGTAATGTGATAGTACATGTACATGTATGTAACTACATACAAAATTACAACTGCTATGTGTGACATTTTAGAATCTGACTCAAGTTCAATTATAATGACAACTTTTTACAATGATGTCAATTTCCATGCAAATAAAGGATGTAATCTATATTGCATAGTTATATATAATGACAACTTTATATTATAAACTTCACAATTCAGTTATCAAACAGTTTACATACATTTAAATATAAAAATTCTACTGTATGCATCATACTGTGACTGAAGGCTGGCATATATCAAACTAGTTTGGTATACCGGTACACATATTTTCTCTTCTCAGTTCTGACCCATAGGGCCATATTTGAATCACTAACCTTTTTTGGAGCAGCAAACATATCTAACTCAGTAACTGCAGTGAAAAGTTATATACATTCAATTGTGGCTAATGAAATGACTTTTAGCTGAACAAAACACAAAGGTAATTACATCCAGGTCTTGAAAAATTAGAAGTTTTAAAGAAGCAAACATTTCTTTCAAATTGATGTAATAATACACACTCTGGTGGAGATTCTGCATGCTCAGCCATTATGACCACTAATCGATAGAAACAGTTATTTAGACAGCCTTATTAACTTTTTATTTTCTGTAAATTAAATTCTGAAATACTTGTTCATATTATTTAGAAAATAAATGAAACCGTTTGTATTAATTATAAACAATCGATTTAATGTTTTTAACAGAAAATGTGCCTTTGTATACCGGTACTTGTTTCATTATTTGTCATGTTTACAGCTCTACAAATGTACATAGATTGGGAAATTAATTGGATTTTCATAGTTGTGTTATAAATTAATCAATGGTTTAGAAAACTTAAATGTTATTATGATATCAACAAAACTATAAGCTTACAAAGACAGAGCCCTGTTGTCAAGTCACATTTCTGTTGGATACAATTTTAGTTCTAACAAGATATGGTATGTTTTGTAATTAATGCAAAACCTTTATGCATTATTCAAATGGATTTTATTTTTCTGATAACTTGTGGTTATCAGTCATGTAAAGGACTAGGTTAAAGATCTTCACAATTTTTTTACTCATAAGTATATTCAGTAAGTATATATCTGGGATAATCTTTAAGTAAATGTAATATAATATACGTTATAGACTAGAGCTGTGCTCATATTGTCCCATTGATTTTACCGGAACCTAATGGTATTGGATCAAAATTTACATCATAATGTAGTGTATAAAATTTATTTTTCTATTGTTTACACTGCCATAAGTATCATACAGAGAAACAGTACTGTCCACTCCATGGTCTAACATGAATTAATAATTGTGTTCACATTGGAGAAGTATAATAATGATAATAATAATAACAAGAACTGCGACGCAGTAATGACAGGTTTCACCGGTGCCCTGTTACCCTTGAACATATGTCACTTCCGGTACCGATGAAACCATTAAACAGGTTTCCACATAAGCATTGCACACATCAAATAAAATGTACGCAGAATCAACCAAATCCAGCAATATCAATTCATTGTATACATTTGTTACATGTAAGTGATACTGATAATGAAAATGTTAAATTAGTTTTATGAAATCAGAAATGGCATAAGGCATCACATGGAGAAAATTTTATGTAAATTGAATAATAATTGCCACTTTTATAGACCAAAAACCTTGAAAAGGGACTTGTAGAAAATCGTCTATTTCTCTGCAACCGTACAAGTTAGAAACCATTTTTGGGTATCTGTATGATCGTATGGGTTCAATCTATTTGTTGATTGGAATCAAATATCATAATTTTAAAAACATTACAAATTAGACTCATTTGAATAAAATATCTGTTTTGAAGGCTAAAAATACAGTTTTTGCCAAAATGACATTACTTCCGTTGACAGTAAAAGTGTTAAATTACTTGTATGAAATCGTAAATGGCATTAGGTATCACACGGTGAAAATCTTATGAAAATCGAATAATAATTGACACTTTTATGGACCAAAAACCTTGAAAAGTTACCTGTTGAAAATCGTCTATTTCTCCGCAACTGAACAAGTTAGAAACCATTTTGTGATACCTATATGATCGTATGTGTTCATTCTATTGGTTGATTGGGATCAAATATCAAAGTTTTAATAACAAATACGACTCATTTGAATAAAATACTGGTTTTGAAGGCTATAAATACAATTTTTGCCCAAATTACGTCATTTCCGGTGACATTGGAAATGTTAAATTGATTTGACCTTGAAA